CGCGGGAGGACGGGCAGGGGGGGGGGGGATCCCTGCAGGGAGCCGCGAGTGACAGTCACTGCTCTCTGCAGGGAGATGATCGAGAAGTGAGCGAGCGACGGTATGTGTTCGCTCACTTCCTGATCTACTGAGTCGACCTGTGACAGTTTCATTGTCACCGGTCGGCTCAGATTATGAGGCTGAGTGAAAATCACTCACCTCATAATTCTCCTTTAATTTAAAAATACACAAATGCCGTGTTACAAACATAACGTTTACTTCAGAATAAAACTTCACGCACAATAATTTGCAATCACACTGCACTGGAACACACGGCATTGCAGTACTGTGCATTCTAGTGTGGGCGATCACACTGTGGGTGGGAGGTGCGTTTGGGGTGCCGTTGAAATGAATGGCACTCCAACGCATCTCTCACAGCAGAATTTGTCAGGCCGAAACGGAAAATTACTTTCTTTCCACCTTTATCATTTCTTTTTAATTTTTTTAATGTGTTGTAAGCACATGGTGCTTGAATGGCTTCAGCCAGGGAATAACAGCTGCCAGTGGCAAGATTCTGCAGCTGAATGTAAATACAGCAGGTAGTTGAGAGCTAGGGGATCCAATCAACTATTCTCATAATCGATTAATTGATTAGTTGGTTGCTGCCCTAGTCGCCTCTGCTTAGGTGATATCATTTATTTAATTTGGATTGCCTATTTTTACATGAAATATTTTTTTTAAATAAACTTTTTGTTGCCTCCAATGACACGGAATTCACAAAGCATTTTGGGTGGTTGTGTTTTTTAGCTGTTTTCTAGCAGCCTATTTATGACGGTTTGTTTTTACAGGTCCTGCCTGGCTTTGTCCCTGCCATTCTTTTCAAAAGAAGATGGTAAATATTTGTCTAACTTGTACCATTTTCATTTCTACCAGTATCTGAAGAAGCTGCATACACAGGAGAGAGCAGTAGAGGAGGTGAAACTGGCCATTAAACCGTATTATCAGAGAAAAGAGATCACAAAAGAGGATTATAAAGATATCCTTAGGAAAGCTGTACACAAGGTGAGAGATTGACTTTGCAGTGATACATCAAGGGTCACACATTGTCATTTTCCTACACTGGCTATAAAAGGGGTTCTGTTATCATTCGTGGATACATTATATAAATTATATAAATGGTTCCAAATATTAAGGAGAGCGAAAATGTTTAAAACTTGTCTTTGTACACCATTGCCCTACAGCATTTCTCCTCTGTTCCTCTGTCCACATAGTCAGGGAACAGAAAGAGATGGGCTGTTGCGCTTTGATCAAGTACATTTGGGGACAAAGTAGAACTCCAGCCACAAAGGTTTTATTTTTGTTTTGGGTATAGTGGGTAACGTTTGGAACATCTGTTGGTTTTTAATGCTTATTATTCTTGGTGCAGAGATTTCCCCACATCCTGTGTTGCAGAATAAGAGGATGTCTCTATAATGGGACACAGTAATACAAACTGACACCGGTTCTAATCCTTACACACATTTTAATCAACACAAAAAAAATATTTAAATACTATTGAAGAACTCCGGGCGGTTAAAAATTAACCCTTGCAGTGGGGCAAGCCCTACTCTGCAAGGTTTAAGTGCTTGTTTTGGTCTAGGGTCTAATATAAAAAAATGATATACTCGCACGATCCTCGTTCTGGCTTTGGTGACCGCTCACCTGTGTCTCCCTCTGCTCCTGTTGTGGAATTATTATATAGGATTTATATAGCGCCAACAGTTTGCGCAACACTTTACGATATAAGGAGGACGTTACAATACAAGACGGTAAGGAGGGCCCTGCCCATGAGGGCTTACACTCTAAAAGATTGGAATGTCCCAGGGGGCGGGGGACCTGCCTAGCAGTCAGGCAGGAATAATCTCTCTCTCTCTCTCTCTCATTTCTTTTTTTGTATTATTTTAGACCCTAGACCAAAGTGAGCACTTAACCCTTGTAGTTTGGGGGTAGCCCCACTGACGGGGTTAATTGTTTTTAAACTGCTGGGAGTTCCTCTTTAAAAGTAAAGTATTTTGATTGGAATGACCAAAAAGTGATCTGCAGACAAACCCCTTAATTCGAAAGTAAAATACATATATGGGAGTGCTTTCATTCAAAGAATTCTGTCTGCATGGCCCCAAGATGTACATAGCCCTGCCAGACAGCTTAGCCAAGTTGGTGACTTTCTGTGTATTCTGTAGATTGCTTGTAGATTGTCTTGAAGTCTCTTGGGATGAACGATGTGGATATCCCAGCAGGCTGAGGGTTGCTGGGAGCTACATCCTCCTCGATGCGGCGAGGAATAAGATAGAAGGGTACATGAGCAAAAATACAGTGTTTGCTATAAGACAGCAAGAGTAATTGTATGTGAATGTGTAATAGAAAAGGGGAGGAAACCTAAGAGTGCTTTAAACTTTTTGCAAAAAGTCCACTTTAATTTAAAGGCTTGTCTAGTTTGCTTTTTGACACCTTTCTTTCTCCCCTGTTAGATTTGCCACAGCAAGAGTGGAGAAATCAACCCAGTAAAAGTGAACAACCTGGTAAAAGCCTACGTCCAGCGTTACAAGTATTTCCGGAAACACGGGAAGAAAATGGAAGACGACGAGAGCAGCGGCGGTTACCGCAGCTCAAAAGAACATGACAAGTCAATGCCGCCTTTACCGTTAATATGAGCCCAAGAGGACTGCCTACCTTCACATAACTTGTCAGTTTCAATAAAAAAAAAACTTTATTGCTAGTGGCTAAGAGGGACAAGGGACGCTTTTATGCAACTGTCAATCTTTAGAGATGCCTATCTTTAGAAATATATGTGACTCCTGAAAACGGTCCCTCCCCCCTGCTCATACCCCCAGAGTCGGGACTGGCTCAGCAGGGCCGCACAGTGCGCTCGCGTTCCCTTCTGACTCATTTTAAATAGTCGTCTCTTGTAAATACGTTGGCTTCACAGATTTGCGGCTTTACTCTCCGCTTTCTGTACCAGGTTTTAACTCTTACACGGTTTTCCTTCCATTATTATATTTTCTTTTGCATGAATGGACACGCCTCCACCGTATCAGCACCTAGCAGGTTGTTGTTGTAACCTTCTACTGTTAGCTGTATTAAATTGCCATCCTGTAAGCCTTTCTCCCTGTTTTGGCTTTTTTTTTGTTGAGGACGTTTTTGTGTCAGTGGGTCAGACTGGTCAAGGATTATTTTTTTGATTGCTGTTTAAAAACGATCTTAACACGGTACTCTCGGATGAGCAAATATTACCTTACAGAGGAACTTTACCCATATCTTTTGAATATACACTCACCAGCCACTTTATTATGTACACCTGTTCAATTGCTTGGGAACACAAATTGCTAATCAGCCAATCAGATGGCAGCAACTCAATGCATTTAGACATCTAGACGTGGTGAAGACGACTTGCTGAAGTTCAAACCGAGCATCAGAATGGGGATGAAAGGGGATTTAAGTGACTTTGAACGCGGCATGGTTGTTGGTGCCAGACGGGTTGGCCTGAGTATTTCGGCAACTGCTGATCTACTGGGATTTTCACGCACAACCTTCTCTCGGGTTTACAGAGACTGGTCCGAAAAAGAGAAAATATCCAGTGAGCGGCAGTTGTGTGGACGAAAATGCCTTGTTGATGCCAGAGGTCAGAGGAGAATGGGCGGACTGGTTAGAGATGATAGAAAGGCAACAGTAACTCAAACAACCATTTGTTACAACCAAGGTATGCAGAATACCATCTCTGAACGCACAACACGGTGAACCTTGAAGCAGATGGGCTACTGCAGCAGAAGACTACACCGGGTGCCACTCCTGTCCGCTAAGAACAGGAAACGGAGGCTACAATTCGCACAGGCTCACCAAAATTGGACAATAGAAGACTGAAAACATTTTGCCTGGTCTGATGAGTCTCAATTTCAGCTGCAACATTCAGATGGTAGGGTCAGAATTTGGCATAAACAACATGAAAGCATGGATCCATCCTGCCTTGTATCAACGGTTCAGGCTGCTGGTGATGGTGTGTGGGATATTTTCTTGGCACACTTTGGGCTCGTGATGCTATCATGCCAATATGGACTAAAATCTCTGCTCGGAGGAATGTTTCCAACACCTTTTTGAATCAATGCCACAAACAATTAAGGCAGTTCTGAAGGCAAAAGGGGGTCCAACCCAGCAAGGTGTACCTAATAATAACGTGGCTGGTGAGTGTATGTAAATATCAGCTTGAGAAATGTTTGTTAATGACATTCTACAAACGGATACTATTAGATAATTGCTGTTTCTTTTTATTCTTTGAATTCCTTATTTTTCTTTTCCTCCCCATTTTTCTCACGGTGGCTATTTTTAGGGCAGATAAATCCATCTCTTTACTTCCTGGAACCTACCCAGGATGCATTGCTTGGGCACATATTACATCACCAATGCTCAAAAGGGCCAGGAAGTGGGGAAAAATAAATAATTGTAAGTAAAAGCAAAATATGTTTAACTAATAAATGTAAGATGATTTCATATCCACATACAGAGCTGTATACTGATTTGATTTATAGTGATGGGTGGTAAAGGTCCACTTTAATACAAAAGTCATGTGTATTCTTCCTTGAATCTTGGGGAGCTTTGTGTATTTCTTCCAGATCTGTGCAGTAATCCAGTGTGAAGCTTTACTTCCGTGCAGGAGCTTCCTGTTATAAATGACCAGTCACTGCTGCTCTCACTCCTAGTGCAGGGTGACTGGTCCTGTATCCGCCCCCTCATGTCATTTTTCTGCAGGCAGCTGTTAGTGGGAGGGGCCTCTCTCCTATCACAGATACCTGTAGGCATAGGGTTAGTTATGATGCATACAAACCAAAATCAGAAGAAGCTCCATTGACTTGCAATTGTGCCTTCCAATTTCCTTTCAATCTCTAGCAGTCTATTTTTAATGAATGCTAACAGAAGGGTGCAGAAAAATGAATGGCGCTAGTTCACACCGGTTCCATTTCATTAGGTTGCGCAAAAAAAAAAAAATAGTGCATCATTTTTTTTTTCCCAGCACAACGTAATGCAAGGGAGCGGTGTGATCTAGCCCCATTCACACCAATTCATTTTTCGGGGCCCTCCCGTTAGCACCCTTTGAAAAATGGAATGCAACGTAATGGATCCGGTGAGAATGGGCCCTAACACTGGATCCTGACCGCTTCTCATTCTGCTCCTTTGACTTCAGGATGTGCCACATGTGATCAGTACTAATACAAATTTTACCAACACGCTTAACAGCTAGCCTGCAGAAAAAACAAAAACAAATGACACTGTCTACCAATGGGTGTTATAAACGGGTTTTAATTGCACAACTTGCAAACTATGTGAAAGACTCGCTACCTCGTCACGGCTCCTCTGTATAGTGTGGGTTCTCACGCTTATCTACGAGACCCTCCACCTTGGAACAAATATAGCAATGGATACATTGAGTGTAGGTATAGGTAAAGGTGTACCCATTATAGGCACATGAATACGCCAGAAACCCAGCAAATTACAATGTCAGCTGAAGCCCCCAATGTGTCCCCACACCAAATCCATCAAGCAAAACAAAAAATGTCAAATGCACAAATCAATTTTATAACTACCGTGTTTCCCCAAAAATAAGACGCTGTCTTTTATATTTATTTATTTTTGCCCCCCCAAAAAAAACACACTAGGTCTTATTTTCAGAGAATGTCTTAAATTTTTTTTTTTTATGTGCAACAAAATGTACAACAATCGAAAGTTACTCATGTACAACAATACAGAGTTATCTGGTATCACTCCACCTGCCAAAGTAACTGGCGCTATAGAGGAAGTATCGGCTAATGCGGCTCTGCTCCCGCTGCAGCCTTGCTTTCTACAGGGAAATCCATCTATTTTACTTGAATATAAATATCGGAGCATTTCCTGTGCAACAAATCTAACAATTACAATGGACAAGTGTGTTGTTGCACCAGCAGCACCAAATTACTGTAATCTAAACATACGTACACGTCTGTTATGGCATGCATGCTGAAGAAAGACCTTCTCTTGGAAGCGACTGGTGCTTTGTGTGACTGCGCACGGCAGCCTGTTCTTCCCTATAGCAGGTAGTGGCTGCATGCATTTACACGCTGTCAGTCCTGTGGGTCTGGGTGACCGCACTTGGATGCAGACTGTCTGCGTCCAAGTGCGGACACCCGGATATGCACGGATGTAGAGGTTTGGATGTGCGTGCGACAGTGTGTAATTGCGTGCAGCTGTGTTCTCCCATAGGGAAGAACAGGCTGCTGCGTGCAGTTACACGAAGCGCCAGTCCCTTCCAGGAGCAAGTCTTTATGGGCGTGCACACAGTCTGAATGAGCCCTAAAGGTGATATGCAATGGTTTCTGTTGTCCGATAATCAAGCACTTGGGCCAATATTCTAAGTTCTAAAATGTGCACCATCACCACCAGGGACATGGGGTCAGGGGAGTCAGAGCCTCACCTAGTATTATGGAGGAAAAAGCTGTCATCTTCAAGTCTGAACCTGACAGCTTTTTCTCCCTTCAGATTGGCTAGGAACAGGTTACACAGCAGGGAAAGCCTCCCCGCTGTGTAACCTGTCATGGGCGGAGCACTGCATCCGGCTTTTGACAAGTAGTTAGGTTACACAGCAGCGGGCTTCCCCACTGCTTGTGTAACCTAACTTGGTGAGGCAAGAGCTGTCACAGCCTCTACTCTTTGTTAGAGGCGTGAGCTCCGTGGATGGTTTGGACCAATGGCAAAGCGCCATTGGTCCATGCTGTCCAATCAAAAAAAGAAAAAAAAACCCCACTGAGGCCATCGATCAGCAGTGATGAGCAAGTGAGGGAAAGGGAGGCTCCTCCTTCACACTAGGCGGGGCTTCGTTGGGATGGGGGCAGGGCTTTGGCATGCTGGGAGCGGGGCTGGGGAATGCCTCACCAAGAAGCGAAGGTACCACAAGTCACTGATCACCACAGTAGTGTAAATAGTGTAGGAGGACGGACTGACGACATTGAAGAGCAGCACTGCTGAAGGAAGATGAGAGGTGGCTACTTATGAACAGACCCCGGATCACTGTCACGCAACAGTTTTATCTATTTGGTGCATAAAAAGCTAAATAAGTGCACTCTGGATAAAGTTGGTACTAGTTAAAGCACGTATCCGTTTCTTTTTTCACCATCTGTTTCCCAACGGGGAATTCTCACTTCTTGTCTTGTAGACAAATCAAATGTGGAAATAGCTCTGCACTGCAGTGCATGACTATGCGGGTGGTCCAGTAATGCGCTATTGTGAGCGAGCCCCATGCTGCATAGGAATAATAAATCTTGTTGCTTCTTTAAGTTGAGTTTTTATCTGGCTTGGACCAGCTCGCCGATGCTGAAGTCTCTGTACCTGACAGAGGCGTGACATTGTCATTTAGTATTGGTCGTATATATTTCTACAGTTACAATGAAGTTAGATTTGACCCCAGTCCATCTTTTCTTCAATGCTCCTGAGAAGTGAAAGGACGGCACTTTGACTGGATAATGAATCGGAAATTTCAAGGTTTAGGTCGCTGTGGCTGAGTGATGAGGCTCCGGTCTTGTAACTTAATTCATGAAGCAAACGCATGACCACCGGTATGATCTACACAGGGCGAAAGAAATGTTACCACAGGCAGGACACATACATTGCTAATGTTCAGATCAGTATGGCAAAACAGCACTGTAAAGGAATGTATGTCTGTTGTGTTTTCTACATATGAAAGAGAACTAAATCCAAACTGTCATCTTTTGGGTCAACGGAATTAATTTACTACCGTACTCCTGTGACCCAAAGTAAGCATCTAGCAGGACACTGCCTGCTAGATGCTGACAGCGCATAGCTGTGCTGCAGCAGGGACAGATCCCGACAATATTGTCAAGATCTACCCCACTGCCTGATTGACAGCTGACTGTACCTCTCTAAAGCCAGATCCAGCTGTGCCTGCCCCCCACTGTCTGTCCATCCAATGAGCGATAGAGAAGCAGAGAGAGGGGAGGGGGAATCCCTGCAGGGAGCGGTGACTGAAAGTCGACGCTCTCTATAGAGAGAAGACCATGAAATGAGCGATCTGTGGTGTGTGATCGCTCAGCTCTCAATCTGTAGAGCCGCCGTGGGACACTTGCAATCGAAGAATTGGGAAGAGTACATTTTACTCTAGCAATACTTCTTCTTTACCAATACTAACTCATAGGAAAATACCTCTATGAAAAGCTTAGATGGAAGCTGCTATACTCTGACTAGCCACATTACTTACTGGCTACATACCATTTCCCAGGCAGGGGATCTGAACTTTTTTTTTTTCTGATTGGGAGTGAAGTACAGGCAAGTATGTGCTGCAGGGAGGGGACACTATTAGCACGTTATCAACCAAGATGAACCCAAATAGGGAAGAGTCATGGTTTCCTAAACATCTGTAAACAGTTTATGATCTACGGCCAGAGCAATCTGTTGTCTCTTCCCCTAAACAGTGAATCGGTGGGAAGGTTCTTTGAAACCCTGTTTAATCTTGCTTCAGACTGTCTGGCTTTAGTGATGGAACTACTGAAGAGCAGTGCTTGCCTTCAGCGAGCTTTACAGAGCTGAGCAGCTGAAGCTCAAATTATACACCCAGCTGACTGAGCCAAGGTTGACACCCCAATCTCTTTCCCCTTCTTCATGGCTGCAGTTTAGAAATTAATTTAATGAAATACAGACACAAAAGGAAAACCTACTGCTGTGTTCTTTCTTCAGAAAACAGAATGCTCTGTAAAACCACTCTCATAGGAGCAATCAAGGTGTATTAAGTTCGTATTTGTAAAATATTTTATACCAATAAAATTATATAAAACCTCAGTTACAACAAAAGAAAAAAATGGCTCCAAACAATTAGTTGTCTTGACCTACAACACTGTTACTCACTTCAACCATGATGCATTTCGTTCTCCATGGTTTGACATCTGGCCATGTTTCTCCAAGACAAATCCATATGGAATACTGCGGAGAGTCTTTTCTCCTCCTTTTAACAAATTCCATTAATTCTGTCAGGAAGTAAAAGGTGCATTTAGACATTGTGATGGAACAGTTATTAACTTACCAAACATGTGTTGCTTAAAGTGCTCATCCAAGGGACAGTTGCATATTGGACATTATATAGGCCAGAACAAGTCTTTCAAAATTGTTGTAACAACCAATTTGCTTAGCTATTTGCCCAGCAGAACTACATGTGCATTCATTTTGTGCGAGTTAACCAGCTGTTGTGAGAATGGGGCAAAAAACAAATGTTCTTAGTGTTATTTCTCTTCTTGTCAAATGTTCTTCAATAGGTATATTCATAAAGAACAAAGCAAACAGGGCAAATACCACATTATGGCCAATAGATGAAGCTGAGGATCATAGGAAATAAATACATGTTAGTAACAAGATACAATGTTGCAATTAAAGAGACCGCTAGAGGGAATGGGCATATAAATGTAACCGCTGATACTATGGGGATAGCAATAGTTACATTTATATGCCCATTACCTCCAGCGGTCTCTTGAATTGTAACATGCATTGAAAAGGGAATGTACTGTAAATACAAAGCAATAATTTTGCCACTTTATAGATCGCTGGTTCTGCCTCATCTGGAGTATGTGGTTCAGTTTTGGTCATCAATCCACAGAAAGGATGTCCTGGAGCTGAAGAGAGTCCAGAGAAGGGCAATGAAACTAATTAAGGGGCCGGAGGACCAAAACTATGAAACAAGGTTGCTAAATTTAAATTTGTTCACGCTGGAAGTGAGGCGATTAAGAGGGGACATGGTTTTGATGTACAAGATGTTTAGTGGGGATGGCAACACCAGCAATAAACTTTTGACAGTATACTCCCTCAAGAAGACTAGAGGCCACCACCTAAAATTGGTAGAGAAAAGATTTAACCACAAGGGGCGTTGGGGATTCTTCTCAGTCAGAGTGGTTACATTTTGGAACTCTCTGCCACAAGCAGTGGTATCGTCAGAGAGTATTGAATCATTCGAAAATCAATTAGATACCTTCCTCAGAGACCAGAACATACAGGGGTACAGGTACTCTTAAATACTAGACCACACAGGGACTCGTGTACACACACATACATGCACAATCACACACAGACACACAAAGGTTGAACTTGAAAAACCTGTGTCTTTATTCAACCTCAAATACTATGTTTCATGTTACTAACATATGTTTGTTTCCTATGATCCTCAGCTCTTTCTGGTGGTCATATTGCGGTGTTTTCCCCAATTACTCTGCTCTTTATAAATAAACCTATTATTGAACCCTATGCATGTATAGTTTGCATGGGCCAGCGGGTAGGACCATTTTAAGAAAGGGACAGACAATGGTTTTTGCTGAGGGTAGCGCACACCGGCTTCCACAGGTGAGGCCACAGAGGAGGTCATATTGGAATTCTCTTGTGTGCAGGGAATCTAGGAGTAGAAGGGTTAGAACATCCGACAATGTGTTTACTGCTACTTGTGCTTTTCTGTACTGGTCAAACCACAGCCCCTGTTTCTGGCATGGGCGTTACAGGGACAGGAAGTGAGTGAAGATCACAGACAACAATCATAGACAAAAATAAAATATGTGACTAATTTTAAGTAGCAAAGATTGCCTTTACCACAGTCTCTTTTTGCATGCCCCTGACTTCAGGAGTGGAACACATTTGAAAGTTAAAGCAGAGCTCCAGTCAAGTACCCAA